TCTATACCAATGTGATCCCTATTAAGTTGCCTTTTATTTCAACTGCGTTTTATTTCCAAAGGCGTTCACATATGAAAGATATTGACAAAATCTTAAACCTATGCATTAGGGTTGTTCAAAAAAACCGAATTTTGGAAAAGTATACGGGCTCATGGCTCATGTGGTGCGGTATTTTTTCTGAGTCCAATGATGCCCATTTTTCTGAAAAGTATTAACTGTTAGGGGCTCCTCAAACGGCTTAAAGCGGACCATGTTACGCCCGCCGACCGGCCGGTGTCAATAAGGGCGAGAATTCGACGCCGCGCACGGGCGGCAACGCCTTATCGGCACCGCGCGCCACGACACGTCCTGCCGGGCGGCCGGCTGGGTGGTGGGAAGTTATAAGTGCGTGGTCTTATTGCACACGATCGGGGTGAGCTATCCCATGTTTTCGGGGCGGAAAGTTTCAGTGCAGCATCGGTGCGGCTGCTGCGGTGGTCTGTGTCGATGGTACAGAAAATAAGTCAAACATAGCTGAGAAAAGACTGAATGATTCCGGTTAGTTGCCTCGAAACAATCCATTTCAAGAATACATTTGCCTTCTTAACGTACCGTATCACTTGTTAATTCTTTAAAAAGCAAACTCTGAGCAATAACAGACTTCTTTGCATTGCTGTTGACAATTCACGTTACTTTTGGACGGTGGCTCGCACCCCCAATACGCTGCCACGCATCTTAAATCTAACGGCGAAACGCGCAACTGTGCGAGAATCGAAAATTCACGATTTACGTACAGCAAGAGCTGACAATGCACAAGAACAGAATATGGAGACCCGGAAGTCATCGGTCCAAGTTTGGGGGTGGGTTTGACGAGCATGGGCGTCACCAATCAAGATACCTATAAGAAACAGGTAGATCCGATGTTTGAAAGTAAAGCCCCAGTCACAAATTTGACGCACCTGTGACATTTCCTGACACCCACGTGACTATTGTATTAACTTTTGTGTTTTGCGATGTTTTGACCTTATTTAAAGTACTGAAAGCTCAAAATGAATGATTAATGTTGTTTAAAGCAGCATATTAATAATTATGTTTGTAAATTATCGATAAGCTGCTTATAGCAGGTCACGTGATTGCTACCAGATTATGTGCTCAGAAAGCATCTTTTCAACTTCGATTTTGAACAATTTTTACCTCCTTTGAGGCCAAATGATGGACGGTTTGAGGCACACGATGAAATGCTGAATCTATTGATGCCAAAATTTGTTCGTTTTTTGCATTTTTAGACTAGTATATCCTGGCTCAAACTTTGACCAGTTTGTGTGTAAACCCTATGGTGAAGGGAAAACTTCACGCCCAGCAGACGTCTTTACAGTGCTGCCAAATCGTGTTTGGTGGGGGTCGTCACCAATGTCATTATGCAGATACGTTGATGTCAAATGCTGAAGCAACAGAATCGACGCCAGGTTTAACTTAGATTAGCAGGCCGAAATAAAACATAGCATGTCCGGGAATGACAGGGTGGCCACCCTGACAGTGTGACGAAGTGAGACATGAGTAGAGACATTAGCCGGAGTACCTATAAAGCGCCGTTTATCCAATCTTTCGAGCATAAGCGACGCCGGCAGTCCGGCCAGGGCGGCCGTGCCCACCGATGCCGATCAAGACCCGAATCCAGACCCGGCATAGAACACAGCTCTGCCCTGACGTGACACATTACCCCGGTGTGTCACTCATGACGGATGGACCAATGCAGGAGCCTTGCCAGCTCCTGTTGTACCTACTTCGTTAAATTTTCGATTCTCGCTAAGTTGCCGTTTCGTCGTTGGAATAGAGTTACGCGGCAGCATATTGGAGCTGCGAGCCACCGTCCAAAAGCAACTTAAATTGTCAACAGCAATGCAAAGAAGTCTGTTATTGCTCAGACCTTGCTTTTTGAAGAATTAAAAAGTGATACAGTACGTTAAGAAGGCAGCTGTATTCTTGAAACGGATTGTTTCGAGGCAACTATCCGGAATCATTCAGTCTTTTCTGAGCTCTGTATGAATTATTTTCTGTACCATCGACACAGACCACCGCAGCAGCCGCACCGATGCTGCACTGAAACTTTCCGCCCCGAAAACATGGGATAGCTCACCCCGATCGTGTGCAATAAGACCACGCGCTTGTAACTTCCCACTGCCCAGCCGGCCGCCCGGCAGATGCCGTGGCGCGCGGTGCCGATAAGGCGCTGCCGCCGGCGCCCGGCGTCGAGTTCTCGCCCTTATTGACACCGGCCGGTCGGCGGGCGTAACATGGTCCGCTTTAAGCCGTTTGAGCAGCGCCTAGCAGTAATACTTTTCGGAAAAAAGGGTATCATTGGACTCAGAAAAGAATACCGCACCACATGAGCCATGAGCCCGTATACTTTTCCAAAAATCGGTTTTTTTGAACAACCCTACTATGCATATTGGCCACTTTGCCCCATACCTTGGGGCAAAGCGGCCACCGGCGTCGTCTCAAGTCCCGATATGAGAAACAAAATAGTTGCCTCGTGTACGACTAGGGTATTTGATGGTGACAAGGTTAAGCGAGGATGGATGTTTACTTTATCATCTTTCACCTGTAGGTAAACAAAGAAAGGATTTTCATGAAAAAAAAAACATTTAGTTGCATTATTTGGTAACTCATACTGAAAAGTGGCCAAGATGAATGCATGACGACACATTTGAATATAAATAATGTTTTTTATGCAGATGGAAACAACTTATGGCCAATTGGGGGTGGCCACTTTGCCCCGGCCACTTTGCCCCGCGCATACCGTCCGAGACAAAAATACTCCAGCTTAGCTATTAGTGGGGTAAAAAACATTAAAATTGGTAGAATACATGTACGATAACCATGCAATGCATGGACAAGAACGCTTATAAAGATTCCAAACGGTTATGGAATAACATAACATTTAAAAATTGTAAACATAGTTGGTAACCTGGCAAGAAATGCTTTTCCGTGTTTCACAGAACATTGGTGATGGGCCTGAAACCCCGGTCTAGCTCATTCGAAATTCGAACGACCGTGAAGAGAAGTATAATTGGAAACCATAAATTGGAATTGACGCCAGCTATGAAAGGTTAGAACGATGGGTGGCCGCTTTGCCCCGGGTGGCCGCTTTGCCCCACTCTCCCCTACAAGCATTATTGTCCCCTGTTTTTCACCCTTGAGCTACAGAAGCGTCACATCGGACAATACATATCTTGTATCATTGCCAGCTATTCCATACATTATTCATACAATATACCGCGTTCTTCGTCGGAGCAGGTGACACCGTCTCACTATCTACACCCAGTTAGGTACGTAACCACCCGCCGTACTGGCGACCTGACCTTGTCCGTGCGCGGTCCGGCTGAATGTAAATTAGGGGCGGAAAGCTTAACGTGGGTACGACAGGAAAGCGGGGCACGGGGGACTTACAGGGTGGTGTAAATCTATCCCGCCATGCAGTGGCTTTTTGGATTGGTGATGACAATACCGCCGCGCAAAAGTGTGGTTTTTGGTATTGGTTGATGGATGCTTATGACAATGTGGTTCAAAACTTGTTCATTTCATTTCTCCTTCGCGAGGTAAAAACAAAACATTCATTTTATTGACTTTTTCCTTTTTATTTGCATCAGTACATCAGCAATAACCACCATACATCATTTGCAAAATCGTTCATCAATAATTTCAAAGTGCGGAAAACCTGTATCAATAAGGTGTGTCATAAATGGTGGCACGTATGTAGAACCACCTTTTTGATTGTAGCGTTCCCAAGCATCATTCTTGTCTCTAGCACTATATTTCTAAACATCCCACTTTTCGCCTTTCATTTATTTACAAACATGTCACAAGAATATTCGTTAAGCAGTAAACGAATATTTTCTGGAAACATTTATAGGACTATAATTTTTAACCCGGCGGCCGCTGGGCCTCCGCGCCACCCGCCGGCCGCTGGGGGGGGGCATATAGTTGCCCCCCCCCCTTTACGTCTGCGACGATATCGTCGCAACGCGAAGAGATAGAGAAGCGAAACTTTGTACACATCTTCTTGAATACCTAGCCGAGGTTGTGTCCAAATTTGGTGTCGATCCCATTGAAATGACGTCACAGTGACGTCATAAGTGAAATCATAGATTTGCGACTCTCATATTCCTCACGATACATCAGATATATGGGACCGAATATAAAGGGTCGATTATTGGTCAGAAACTAGATGGAAGTGTAGTTAGATGTTTTAGGATGACAGCAGGTGCTGTCTAGTTCATTTACAGTTGAGTTTCATGCTCAGCGTCATCAGAAACGGTCCATATCGGAAAACGACAAAACTTTATGACGTCACCATCTTAGGTGCTACAACCACCAAACTTTCCTCAAACATTGCCTAGGTATTCATTTGAAGCTATGCCAAGTTTCACGTTCGTAGCTTATCAGGTTTCGGAGATATTTCACAAAACGTAAAGGGGGGGCAACTTTATGCCTCCCCCCCCCCCCAGCGGCTCGTGGGTTAAAGAAACGTTGTTTATGTAAATGTTTATTGATAACATCCGTTTAGTGCTCAATCGATATACTTGTCTAAGGTATATAGGTACATCACTGATATCTAGCTGTCCATCTTAGGGCATCCAACTATCCCACGGCTAACCACACAACAAATTGTTAGTGCCCATCTAATCAATCACGACCATCCACTTAATGCGATACATTTCAAACACAAACACATTCGGCATGGCTAAACGCTGGCCGCTGGGGAATGAGCGAATCCATCAAACCTTACTTTTTTATCTTCAAAGTATTTCACCTCCCAAAAACAGTGCTTCTCCGTTAAAAAAAAAAAAATAGAAAGAAGACTTAAAGTTAATGACATCTTTCTAAAAATCAAACCTCGAAGACAGTAGCTCTCTGTTCGAGTGCAGTTATGTCTTAAAAATCAAACCTCAGAGACGTTTCACTTCAGATTCCGAGAGTAAGCTCCTTTTGAGAAGAAGCACGCTGCGCCATCTCTCCCTTCAGTTCTGCGGTATGAGGTCTCCGACACATAGCCCCTCCAGCGGCGGACACGTGCCCGCGCACTGCTGTTCATCCGTGCAGACAGCGCCCGTCTCCAGGACTCCCCTAGCACACAGCATCGTGCTCGCATCACACCGGTTACTGCGGCACAGCTCATTCGCAGGAGTTGCCTCGGCGGTCGAACAGTCTTCTCCGATGTCCAGCAGAGGGATCCCACAGGCTCCAGCCACACAGCGTCCTGAGCGACACTCCGAGTTACTCACGCAGGGTCGGCCGGGACGTTTATCACCCCCTCCGCCGGTGCCCGGTGGACGACAGATGCCATTGAAACAGTTTCCGCTGACGCAGTCGTCATTTAGCTGACATCTTTCACCGTTCGGTATAAGCGATGGACCACAGATGCCGTTAATGCAGTTGCCGCTAAGACAGTCAATGTTAGTCCGACAGACTTCGGTGCCCGTGTCCGGTGGACTACAGATGCCGTTGATGCAGATTCCGCTAGGACAGTCGCTATTAAACCGACAGACTTCGGTGCCAGTGCCGGGTGTACTACAGATGCTCTTGATGCAGATTCCGCTAAGGCAGTCTCTGTTAGTCTGGCAGATTTCGGTGCCTGTTCCCTGTGGGCGACACGTTCCTCTGAAACAGTTTCCACTGAGACAGTCATCGTCGAACTGACACCTTTCGCCGTTCGATGCAAGCGATGGACGACAGATACCCTTGAAGCAGTTTCTACTGAAGCAGTCGTTGTCAAATCTGCAGCTGTCGCCATTCTTAGCAAGTGGTCGACGACATTGGTTGTTGTCACAGAAGTTGCTGAGACATTGGAGATTCGCCGTACAGTCGGCACCGATGGTGAGCTTCGTCATGCATTCATTACCGATGAGAGTATGGACGCAGAGGAGAGAAAAGTCGCAGCCAGCGGTGTCGAGAGGTGTCGGACAGAGGTCCTCGTAGCAGCGTCCCGCGCGGCAAGAGTCGGAGCGACAGTTGCGGTCCGAGCTGCAGGAGGCGCCGCGGGCCAGTAGCGGGACGCAGAGGTTTCCGTGCTGCCCCTGCTGGCAGATGTGGCCGTCGGGACAGCCGTCTCTTGAGAGGAGGGTCCTGCAGGTGTCTCTCCTGCAGCGACGTCCGTCACAGCGGTACGACTGGCACTGTGCGTCGCTCGAGCAAGCCTCGCCGTCGGCGCGACGGTTGACGCAGATGTTGCCGCGCTGGCTGGACGAGCAGAACTGGCCGGCTGGGCAGTCCTGGTCCGAGTTCAGCTGCGGACACGCGTCCATTTTGCAGACATTTCCGCGGCACACGTGGTGCAGACACTGGACCTCGTTCCAGCATGGCGCGTTTACGTCCAGGAGTGGAGTACAGCGACCCTGCTGGCCGCAGTAGCTTCCGCTTGGGCAGTTGCCCGCTGACATTGCAGGCCTGCAGGAGTCGTCTCTGGGTCGACAGACACGTCCAGACCGCGTCTGGACGCACTCCTGGCCGACCGGGCAGCCCGAGTTGTAGCCTTCCCCTTGACACTCGTCTTGAACGCAGACATTTCCAAGGCATCTGCCTGAGAGACATTCGAACTCACTGCGACAAGGAGATCCGACCGGCTTCAGTGGTACGCACCGGTAGTCTGCGGTGCATACTTGTCCGAACGGACATCCACTCTGGGAGAACTGTGTCGGACACTCCCGTGGGATGACGACAGGTGGTACTGGATATGTCAGCTTCTGTGGGTACTTTGGCGGTGCTGGGTATGTTGGCTGCACGGGCTTGACTGGGTATGTTGGCTGCACTGGCTTCGCTGGGTATGTTGGCTGGACCGGCTTCACTGGGTACGTTGGCTGGACGGGCTTCACTGGGTATTTTGGCGGTGCTGGGTATGTTGGCTGCACCGGTTTCACTGGGTATGTTGGCTTCACTGGGTACGTTGGCTGGACGGGTTTCACTGGGTATGTTGGCTGAACTGGGTATACTACTGGTGTCGTTGGATACACCACGGGCTGTTTGATCGCCACAAAGCTGGCCACAGTCCCCGGGTACACTCTCTCTTCACGGTTGCTTTCTGGGGATGCCACGCTACTCTCCGCATCTTCTCCATGGGATGTGGAGATGAAGACAGGTGCTAGAAGAAGGCATACTGTCAGAACTGGCTTCGGCTTCATCGCAAGTTCGCAGGCGCGGTACTGGAGTATGAAATCAGAGTACTCTTGAATTCTGTATAGCTCAGTGTCCTCTACTCACAGGATCTCTTTCTTCAGACAGAAGTCCGGAAGATTCCAGACAGAAGTCCGGAAGATTTCGGATTCTCGCTTCGTCTAGGCTGCCAAAAGTGCCATTCTCCTCTTGCAGATAACCTCGCTCCTCCAGATCCTCCAGGAGATCTCTGTGCTTCTCTCCTTCGGAAGGCCCCGAGTGTCCGCTTCCTGAAGCGAAGTTCACAGTTCTGAGGTCGTGCTGTGCTCTTCCCGAAGTTCCGAAGCGTCCTTCTCCTACGACAGACTTTGCGGTTCTGAGCTGTCCATCGACTCAGTTTTGTTCTTCTTCCAACCCAATTGCCTCGAGCGGTGATTGCAAAACGGCCAGTTCCTATCCACCCGAGCGAATATCTGTGGACAAACAAGTTTTTGTTCTTCGTGACGTTCAGTAGTCCAGACAGTCATCTTTGCAGGGCGTCTTCTGACCGGCACTTAGCTAGATAATATCGCGTTTTAATCCTATAAGTGCCGCCGCCCCAACACTCGTTGCACGGTAGATGCATCTTCAGGGTAGTTATGATGGGTGTGGTGCTCTGCTGAAACCGGTTTCAACGTCGCAAACGTTGTCTAGCTACTTGGGTGACTTACACAACAAAGGAAGCTTAAACCAGATGTAGCACCAGTGAACCCAATAGCCAGTGTCAAGGTCTTGTTCGCAAGGCTGGTGCACGCACAAACTGGTTCATAACCAGTTAGCTTCAAAGAATGAAATGCGGAGAAGTGACTTAGGGAATGCTGTTGTTTGCGGTTATCTGAATGAATTAGTCGGTTGAATGGATGCATTAGTCGGCTCTCTAGATGAGTTAGTTGGAATATATGTAAAAGAGCTCACCTTGTAGCTGATTTCAACATCAAATTCGCGTCAGTGTGCGACTTGTTCGTACTCACGGCAGATAACATCTAGCAGAGTGCAGTAAAGAAGTATTTGCTACCAGCACAGGTCTTTGGTGGACAGACCGAGAGAGCTGATGCCTGATAGTGGTGGAGGGAGGGAGGGAGGGAGGGAGAGAGAGACAGAGAGAGAGAGAGAGAGAGAGAGAGAGAGAGAGAGAGAGAGAGGAGAGAGAGAGAGAGAGAGAGAGAGAGAGAGAGAGAGAGAGAGAGAGAGAGAGAGAGAGAGAGAGAGAGAGAGAGAGAGAGAGAGAGAGAGAGAGGAGTGGAAATAGAAACCTTTTAACGTCTTGTTGAAAGGTCGAACCTGAAAGCAAACCGAGTTCGACTCCAAAGGAAGAATTGGTAAATTTGCGTACATGTGTAGCTGTAAGCTATCTTACCTTTACAAGTTTCCCGCAGGAAAGGCGCTCCGAATCTAACATGTCACATAATGGTTTACGCGTGATAAAACTTTTGAATGCCGGCAGACTTGAAATACGAACTACGGGGTCGAACGAACGTAGCTTTCTTTATCACGATTTACTACGGCCATTGCTGAAATAATATTGAATCTATTTATGTAGTAAGCAAGGATACAGGGTACTCGCATACCTAGTTGACCTGATAATGAAACTAATCCATCTATGTTGTACCCAGCATGCGACGCTTTGCCTGATTTGTCAAAATTAATTAGCCTGGCTCACTTGGGCACGTAAGTACTGTGACCCTATAGCTCGCTTGATCCATTTGTCAAAACTCTCCACGACTTCATCAGTCCCTCGATTACCTCACAGGGTATTCAGGACGTGCTCAGGCATCCCGTCCTTCACCGCTCTCAAAAGTAGGTCAGTGGACCTGTGGCCTCCTCAAGGTCACAGAGGACACGATGGACCAGGGGGGGGGGTCGGTCGCGGAGACAGGTAGGGGGACGGGGCGCGGGGGAGGGGAGGGGTGAGCCTATGGAGCGCGTGGGACTGGTTGGCGTGATAGGAGGTGAGTTCGTGCGGGAGTGAGGTATGTTCAGTGAGGGGACCGCCAATTAAGAGCGTCTACGGAAGAGGAAGCATGTAAGGGTTTTTCAGAAGCTGTCGACATAAGATAGGAACAAAGATAGTGTCTCTATAGACTGGGCGAAGGAGGAAATGGATGTGGATGTTTTTAACACGTTAGCGGTTTTATCTTAGGGGAGAGTACCTATTTTAACGGTATGACGTAAAGAAAACATGTAAAATATTCTACAAAAAGTATGTCAAGCTTGACTTCCGCATCATCCCAACAGTAGTTGACATACAAGGATGACGGTGATAAAACTGGACTTGAATTACCACAAGAAGTAATTCTCTGGCCGTAAGTTGCACCTCCAATATTTATTAACACCACTTAGGGTGTTGCAAAGTTGCGAAATTCTCAACTGCAGAGACTCCATTGACTCCATAGGTCAGTGGCACGACCTGACAAAAAAAAAAAAATATGTTTGGCGTCGCAACTCACAAGATCCCGAGTAAATCAAAGATAAGAGGTCAGTTTTACCAAAAAAAAGAAAAAAAATAGCCGCCTGCCGGATTCTTTTTTCTACTTAAGACAGCTTCACATACGGAGCGAAAACGGTAAGCCCTATCCGCTCACGTGCCCATCGCGCTTACGTGTGAACTTACGTATGTGAAGCGGTCTTTAGGCAAAAATTCCGGCACGGGCGGCTATTTTTCTGTTGGTAAAACCGCCTCAGGTATCCCGCATTCAGCTTACTATCGCTGATGCGTCCTTAGCAATCACGAAATAAGCCTCAGCGGGTCGAACCAGCCTCTTGACCAGGGAGGAAAAACGACTTCATGAATTGGACTCGCATAAAATTCGTTTAAAAATGGCGTAGGTTTTCATCACTGGTATGCCACATTTATTTATGAACTTAAATGTTTGCCTATGCTCCGCGGCTCTGCGGCTTTGCAAGTCACTAATGCGTTATAACATTTTATCAGCATAACATAGTATGTATAGTATGTATAGTATGTTATTAACATATCCCAGCCAGCAATCCCACTCCGTTCCCGATCGGGTTTTTCGGACTCAGCCCGCACCACCCCGATCGGGACCGGAGTGGGACAGGATTGGGAAATGAGACACTTTGTACGGGCTGGAACGGTCCGGATATCCCAACCTACCCCGCACGGTCGGTTGGGAGATCCCGCACGTATCCGGACCGCCTTATGACGTTTTAACAAGCGCTTAACTCCGATCCCGATCGGGATTCCCCAAATCTCCCCGCACAACCGGTTCGGAAATCCCGCACGCATCCAAACCGCATTATGGCATTTTAACAAGCGATGAACTCCGATCCCGATCGGGATGTCCCAACTCGGCCCGCACGGCCGGTTCGGGAATACCGCAGGTATCTGGCATATTAACCGCAGTCTTATAACCGCAGATTGCTGTTATGCAGATGCGACCACTTTGCTTGCGCCACCGCAACCCCCTCGCCTCTTCATTATTCTCCAATTCAACCTTTATAATGCCTGCACGACAAAATGAATTACATTGGACACTGAAATATATTCACAAATTTACTGGTTGCACACAGGTCAAATTTTTACAAATTCACAGCCTGGCCAGCACATTCGTGGCGTCGGCCAACATCTTAGCGCCGCTGCAAGGCGCTGGCACAGCGGACTCACTTCCGGTGTTCACAGTCATTATAGCAGGCCTGCGCCTTGTTCGTGTCGGCTCCTCTGCGGACAGTGTGTCCGTGTGCCGTCACGGGCTTCAGAGAGCCACCGCGAAACTATGTAGACGGCTGGCATCTGGTCGGGCGGTTCACCACTGTGCGAAGAGAGCATCTGAAAATGACCAAGAGGTAATTAATGAAAGTCTGGGACACACTAAAAATCACTAAGAAATAACCCACATCTGACATTTCAAATGGTATGCCTGGTAATTCAGGTTTCAAGCCTACAATGCAACCAACGACACTGGACAATGAGACCAAACATCTTCTGCCCATGATAACTGATCAAACATGCGACAGCACGAGTGTAATTCACATGCCGTACAACCACAACGAACATAAAAATGTATATTACCTACAGCTTTCCCGCTCCCTACATCACGGATGAAGTGTGCACTATACTCACCCTGTTCTCAAAGACGGACTGATTTCCCTGCAACGACAACAGTTGAACCGACCGCTTGCTAGAGCCAGTTCAAAAGCAATATCCTAAGGCAGCAGCTCAAAGGAGGGATCAACACTTGACCAACGCGGCAGCTAGACTGGCCGCTGCGCTCAGAGGACGCGTCTGCCTGCACGCGGCCCATCTGATTGCTTTTCCAGGCTTTCTGGGCCACCGGATATGGTGCCCGAAGCGCCTTCTCAGATCGGTTGGGATAACAACGTAAATCACAAGCCTGTCTAAACATGGGGTTCGATTGGGCTATCCGTACCGCGTCCCAACTGATTAAGCATGCGGTCTGGAAATCCCGAGTCGCCCCTACCGCCGGCCATCGAGGTCCGGTATCGATTGGGAAAACCCAAGCCTACCCAATCCGGTAGGGACAAGTCGGGACATCCGGAGCCTATCCCGACCGTCCCCAACGCATCCCGGACGAATTGCTGGCTGGGATAGTATGTTACTATATAATATATATGCATAATAAATGATTCCCAAAGGTAAGTAAGTCTGTAAATGAGGGTCAATCATTTTATTCAAACATCAGTTAATGTCAATATTCTCAATCGAACTTTTGTTGCTAAAAACATCCACTTTTAACTGGTCTGAAATGACGTATTTATCTGCTTTGTTTTCAGCATCACGAATATTATGCATTCCACTCTCCACCGGTCGTCAACTATTCTTCACACAAGGATGCGCATTTAGGACGAAACTGGCTGGCCTTTCTCGGATAAGCCTGGAAACAACGTGGTGTGTCAGGCAGAGATGGTGCCTACGCAATAAAAGTGGTCAAGGCGAAGGCCGATGAGTGAGCCATGGCGTATTTCTCTGTCTTGACAAAGATGTGAGAGCTATTTATAGCATGACAACGGTTTTGTAGAGTGACATCTTAACCCACGAGCCGCTGGGGGGGGGGGGGGCATAAAGTTGCCCCCCCCCCTTTACGTTTCGTAAAATATCTCCGAAACCTGATGAGCTACGAACGTGAAACTTGGCATAGCTTCAAATGAATACCTAGGCAATGTTTGAGGAAAGTTTGGTGGTTGTAGCACCTAAGATGACGTCACAGTGACGTCATAAAGTTTTGTCGTTTTCCGATATGGACCGTTTCTGATGACGCTGAGCGTGAAACTCGACTGTAAATGAACTAAACAGCACCTGCTGTCATCCTAAAACATCTTACTACACTTCCATCTAGTTTCTGACCAATAATCGGCCCTTTATATTCGGTCCCATATATGTGATGTATCGTGAGGAATATGAGAGTCGCAAATCTATAATTTCACTTATGACGTCACTGTGACGTCATTTCAAATGGGATCGACACCAAATTTGGACACAACCTCGGCTAGGTATTCAGGAAGATGTGTGCAAAGTTTCGCTTCTCTATCTCTTCGCGTTGCGACGATATCGTCGCAGAAGTAAAGGGGGGGGGCAACTTTATGCCCCCCCCCCCAGCGGCCGGCGGGTGGCGCGGAGGCCCAGCGGCCGCCGGGTTAATTTGTGAGGACAGGAAAACACACAGCAGTGTAGCATTATAGTTGGTGATTTTCATCGGACTGATTCTGCCTTCGGAATTCCAGCCATTATTTACCATTTTGTATATGGTTTACGACATTTTTTGGACAGCTTTAGAAAACTTTTATGAAAAACAAAATTTTGTTAATGATCGAGGACTGTTTCGCCTTTTTTTACAATAAATACAAAAACTTCTGACAGTTCGATATTTTAATGACATCTGCTAGATTTCCTCACATATTTATTGACTTTTCGTCAATTAGCTGCAGATAAATGTTCATTAATTAAACGGACTTTATATCACGCATATGTCAAACCACGCTTGACTCATTAAATTCCCAAACTACATTTAACGCACCCCGGAACTGGAATCTATTTCCTCGTCTTTATCACACCTTTCCGCCCCGTCTATCTTGTCCATCCTCCACAGCTGAGGGACGCATGGTCATTGGTCAATGGTCACGTGTCACCAGCCTACCCCGTGCTCCCCTCGCGGGGGTTCCCGCGCGGGGGGCGGGCGGGGGGAGGGGTGCCCGGGGCCAGGAGAGCGCCATCAAAGGCTCCGGCTGGTAGCGTCAGCTGTCAGTTGTCAGAACGCGAGCAGAGCGAACGGACAGGCGGATCGGCATTGGATTGGAGACAGCGGATCACGTGACAAATCGGTGCAGCCATGACTGGCACCCAGCTGGAGCATCAGAGGGTGAGTGAAAAGTCACGTGATGTGTGAGCGCGTTTTTTTTGTGGTTTGATAGTGAATTGAAGCACTATAAATGTGCATTCATGTCAGCCACCCGTTATACGCTCAACTATTCGGAGCTAGAACAAGACATTATCGTGAAGAGAGAAAAAAAAAAAAACAAGAATGCCGTGAATGCCGTGAGGTATTGGTGTTAGAGATGTCAATCGGATACCAACTTTTTGGTATACCGATACCAAACCGATACCAACTTGGTATTTGGTATTTCAACCGTAATGTGTTTGGTATTTTGTTGGTATCATAAGCCCTAACTAATGTATAAGAGGCTAAGAAATGGGTAAAAAGTTGGTATTTCCCTCAGTTTCCCAAGTTGGTTTGGTTTCGGTATTTTCCCGTGGTTTTGGTTGGTATTTGGTTTGGTATCGGTATTCCGATTTTCCGTAATTGACATCACTAATTGGTGTGGTGCGATTTTTTGACTACATACATATACAAAAAAAGTCATGAAGAATGGACTCTTTGAAACCTTATAGTTGATCGTTGGAGCTATTTCAGTTTTGTGCAAGCTGCTGTGGAAGTGTATTTGAGTTAGTTTGGTAGAAAAAGATAGAACTAAGCTGAATCGCTTTGGGACATTTTGCCCATGCTTTGGTCAAAGCAGATAAAGAGGATTGATAAGAGAAGCCTGCACAGTGCACATAGCACCTGGTTCGATAGTTTTAAGATAAATGCTCCAACGCGTATAGAGACTTGTGTGCGCAAACATTTACATTTTTGTCACTATAAACTTGAATTGAATAATTTGGATGAGACCAGTCATAGCCCAAAAATTTAAACTATCTTCTTGCTCTCGGCTTAACTTTTTTACTTTTAATTCATTATACCTAACTACCATTATAGATTGCTCGTGTTGAACCGTAATTATGCGAGCGCTGAAAGTGATTAGACAGGCCGGACAATAGACAGATAATAGAAACAAGAAAACCGCCCGACCAGCCACCCACTAGTTGAAGGTCTAACTTTGCATAATCGTACTTGCACCGCTCATTATTCTGCTCGCTGGTTCGCCCGATAGGCGTTTTCTGGTATAAATGCTCGGCGACTACAAAATGTAGGCGTTGAAAGCGAATGAAAGTCCCTTTATTGTGTGGCTAGGAAAGGAAAGAATGGCGCTTAAAATGGCATAAAGCTTTACACGTGTTATCATTACTGCGAATGCATAATCAGAGAAAACCTGTCTGAAGAGTCGCGATGTAAATGTTCTTAGGTACCATTTTAACCCGCGCACCGACGGGGGGGCGGATATCCGCCCCGACTGAGGTTTTTCGCAAATAGCGGGAAAACCGCGGCGCGTAGTGCCGCGAAATTTGGTATGACTATTCCCTCATCAATTTTACACATGGTGTGCAAGTTTGAACCTCCTACCTTTCAAGGTCAGGTCACCAGGTCACTTTGAATGACCCAACCTCAAGTCACTTTTTTGCAACTTTGTCACCGTGCCAGAGCTACAGTAGATGTCGGAGGCCTTTGAAAGTCGCAGGATGTTATTAGGTCATTAGTAGCTACAATTTTTATATCTCGGAATTTTGATATCGGTGACCTAAGGTCAGGTCAATTTCGCGACCTCCCCATTATAAGTCAATGGGGGAAAAATCAACTCCCTGTTTTTACCACTAAAACGGGTCGGAATGGCCCCATATACCATACATGACTTCATATACGATCAACCTTCACTACCTTGAGGTCTGTTTTGCTGTTGGGCAGCTGTGAGGTCATGTGACGTCATCAAAGGTCACCAAAGGTTTTTGGCCAATAACTCCGTACAGGAACAAGATACAGCCGCGTGGATGGTCTCATTGTGTTCAGCTCGTCAAGACGCATCGAATGATATACATGATGACCTCGAGGTCACGTGACCTGAGGTCAACCTTTGACCTTGACCTTTCGAGGTCAACATATATACCATTTGATGCGGATTGACGAGAGGATCACGATGATGCCCTTAGTTTGTTCCTATCTTGACTAATTCGAAAGTTATTCGAGAAAAACTCTCTCAATATCTAGCGCCGCCATTTTGACTTTTTCGACCCCTGTGACGTCATCTTTGACCTGACCTGAAAATGACCTTTGTAAAAATTGTAGATCTTGACCGTGCGTATCCGATGCCGTTTACCGCTTGTCGCTATCTTGCTTCGTTCTCGAGATCTCAGGGGGGCGGTCATCCGCCCCCCCCCCCGTCGGTGCGAAGTTGGCGCAGACCCCTGTCGGTGCGCGGGTTAATCCAACAACGACACGAAAAAATATCAGCGTTTCTAGCTAGCTACTTAGAAACGATTTAATGCATTGTTCGAGTTCCGGAACGCATTTTTATTTTCATTGTCAGCAGCTTCAGAATGGCTTTGCTGGAAAATATGTAGGCTCACGCACCTAGAATCTGAAGGTTGAATTGTTCCATTCACACACATTATTTCCATCTTGTTGAGCATTCATTGTCACGCGCCGCCATGAAACGTACAATTTTCGGAGGCTTTTATTCATTCAAACTTCTTTTTTCCTGTAAAGGTGTCGCTCGCTAGAATTTCTCATGAGTGAAACGCGTGTTTCAGAATCTTTTCACTCGGTGCAGTTACAATGCCGCTCGCGTGAGCGTCTTTTTTCGTGAGGAATAAAAAAGTTGATCATGCATTTCTAAAAAAGTGATTGCAAACAACTACAGGCTTAACAAATGTAACCGAAGGTTTGTTGTCAATAGTTAAAACACTATTCTTTAGAATTGTGTTTTTTTTCTATTGAAAAAACAAATCTGAGTTCCCTGACAATTTGGCAAAAGCTGCCTGAGATCAGTATACATAGTAGGATTTGTAAAGCCCGTATGATGGCAGCGCATAAATGAATAAAGCACGAGTCGAGCAGTTGGAATCAATAGAAATCAACAAGTAAAATCAAGAGTACCTAATTACGGAGCGAGCGAAGCGAGCGTAGTCTTTCCTTAGATTAAAGGAAATAGTTCACTTTTTAACATGGGTTTTGAACTGGAATAGCAGTTCCGTAGCTTGGGCTGAGACGAGCATAAATCAGGAGCTTTTACAGCCCAACGATCACCCTAGGCAAAGATATTCTATTTCTCGTCCCGAAAAAGGTGTCTTGCGTTGAGGATGTGTGCCTTGCATATATTTCCATCCAGTATGAAAAGAGCATGGGTCCCGAAAATTCTTCAGAAAGTAGAGAAATTATCTACGAGAACTCTAGAGAAATTCTCGTACTGATCAATTAGGACATTCAGGGGAACATTATCAGATCGAGCAGATCGCCCAAATGCCAGTGGCTGCGATAATTTCTCTGTTTCTGAAGAATTTTCGGGACCCATGCTCTTTTCATACTGGATCGCGTGTGCCTTACAGAAACTGAAAAGTTCTTCCTATATCAAAATATAGAAAATAATCTTTTGTTGTAAAAAGGTTTTATTTTCTTTGCTGATTATTTTGAACATAAAAAATCATAAATCCGTTACAAAAAAAATAATTTCGTGAAAGTGAACTATTTCCTTTAACGGAAATTTCTGAGTATGAGCGGCCGGCCGGCCGGCCGGCCGGCCGTGCGGACGCTTTTACGAGGCTTATATCTCAGCAACCACTTGACCGATTTACATGCGGTAATTTTTATAGGGTAGCTTCATTCCTTCTACCAAGTATTGGACTATTCCCGATGCCTGTGGGTGACTCCTTATGCACGTGCCACGTGCAAAACGAAGAGGTGTCAGTTTTGTAATTGTTGCAATATCTCGGTAACTACTTGGCCGATTGCGCTGAAAGTTGGCATGTAGGTAGGCACCCACTAGGCAATGCATATCCATGTGCCAGAGTTGGGGTGCTGCTGCACGTGCGCACGTGCAGGGGTCGATTCCAGATCTCGAGAACGGCTGGACCGATTGCGCTCAAATTTGGTACACGGTTAGGGACCAGTTAGTAGGGTGACGTGCACAAGTCAGTTGGGACCCATTTTGCACGTGCGCAAGTGCAGGGTGCCGCTTCCAGATCTCGAGAACGGCTGGGCCGATTGTGCTCAAATTTGGCACATCGCTAGAGACCGGTTAGTAGGGTGCCGTGCACAAGTCAATTGGAGGTACCCCCTCGAAATTTCGCACGTGCAAGGCTCACCCTCTCGCTCGCTCCGTTACTGGCCCCAAAAGGCGTTATACTGGTATGATATTTTTGACTGGTCAGTATTTAAAGTATCGAGACTTCACGTGCACTTTTCGCTAAAGCGCTTAAAGCGATAGGACAGGCTTGAAAATCTGACTATAGCAGCACAATATCAGCTTGTGTTTGACAAATTGAACCACAAGCTTCATCAAATTATGATGTCGCAAATTGCATCAAAATCCCACTTAATAATGAACATTTTATGGTTTCAAACATTGCTAAAACGCTACATTGTTTTTGCGTTGCCTCGCCAGCGCTGCACTGATGGGTTTATTGCCATTGATTTAGTTGAAAATGTTTAATTAACTGACAAAGCATTGCGTTTGCTTAGTTAGAAACTTGTTTTGACAACTTTATTGGTAAAAATAATGCTGAAATAATGAAAGTCAGATTTATGTATTTATGTATGTTTTTATGTAACTTCTATGACTTACCTAACATTGCAACGTAAATTTTTATTGACGGCATGTTTAGGACGTCGCATTATTAGCTTTGCGTCGTCCATTAGCATTAGGTACTTTAATCATTTCAGTCCTTCTTTCCTGTGAAGACTGAAATATTTTTGTCGGTGTGCTGTCATTTCAGACATTTCATTTTCTGTCATTTCCTGACTTGATCCCAAGAATCCTACCCAGAATACTCGGGGACGATTTGGTCACCGCCCACCGGATGTAGGTCAGGGTCACTCCAAGACCCCTCTTCTCCCCCTCTCCCCTCCTCTTCCCCCTCACACCCTGTCCGTCCGTGCCCGTCCGTCCGTCCGTCCGTCCGTCCGTCCGTTCGTCCATCCGTCAAATCACTCATGCGTTCAAAGGAACCCGGCTGGGTTGCGACAAAACCACAAATCTGTCCATCTTCTTCAGTTCCGGTATCCGACATGACGTCACAGACCACGTGACCGGTCTCAGTCACGTGACTGGCCGGTTTTCCTCCCCCTCCCCCGCGACCCTCACCCTCCCCACCGTGGCCAGTTCTCCCGGGTTGGTTAGACCGGTTTAAAAGTCAATGTTGGGGTCGCCTGGAAGTGATTCGAGTGCACGTGTTCTCGGACTTCAAAGCTGATGCGACAGCTGATCGATTTAGAGATGAGAGTGGGCTGATTAAGAAGTTCAGGAAGGGATAGGGTGAAGGTGACATAACAAAACAATAACTGGATGTGTAGTAGTAAGATAAGTTGTAGATTTTGACAGGAAGGGTATCAAGTGTAGTCCTAACCTGCGATTTAAAAACATAAGTGTGCAAGAAGTTTTATGAAAGATGTAGGGAGTGTTTTGATCTTTTCATTTTTACTGGATGCTAGCAAAGTGCAAAAATATAATTACAACACTTGCAATACTCTAATATAAACGCGCAATAGTTGTCGTCTCCAATTGCAGTATTTGGAAAGATTTTAAGTTCCGATAGAGCCATCCGCACATTTTGAAGGCCACAAATTTAACGTACTCAACATTCTTTACGCTTATTTCCGCCAATATTTTTTGGGCATATTTTTGCAGTTTTTTATCCACCTTTTTAACACCATTTTACGCTTTTCTCTTCTTTCGACTACTTGCGCTTAGTCTACTCACTCTACTCGCATTCCCATTTGTTTTTTACACGCTTTTTTCAGGACTCGCAAGTACGACTCACACTTGACGATGACGTCACTCCAAAGACGGAAGAGGATCCGTGGGCTCTGCCGGAACTGGCGCAGACGGGCAAACCGTGGGCAGGTAAGACTTAGCTCGCTCAGTGGCGGATCCAGGGGGGGGGGCAAAATGGGCATTTGCCCCCCCAAACGGCATGATTTTAACATTACGCCTATGGACGATGCATGGAAAGAATCGATAAATTTTTATGGTTTGCCCCCCCCCCCCCAAACCTCTGAGCTGGATCCGCCTCTGAGCTCGCTGGATGCTACATTGCTCTTGTGGACTAATTGAACAGACTTGTCATGTCACGTTGCATGCATAGTTATTTTCGTTACTTATTTTTGTTTTATTAAGAAATAAGATATACACTTATGCGCTAAAAGTGCGTTAATTATAGGTATGCATTACCTACGATCGATTGCATCACTTCAACCAGAACGCTGGAACAAATTCATTCCTACTCTTTATAAGCCAGCTTGTTATTCCGGATGTATGTTTCTAAATATTTGATGCGTTTGTGATTTGTTTTTACTCTGCTCATGTTAATCGATAAACGTGGCTATGTAGACTACTTACGGATCTTCTTACCACACACCTTTAACCCTTACCTTTACCTTTTCCTTTTACCTGACCTTTAACCTTTGAGTGACCTTTGACCTCGCCTTCCAGCGATGACGGCGCAGGAGCGGTGGCGCCGTGTCGGGGTCAACACGTTCAAGTTTGTCAGCTTGCTGGGTCTGCTGTACCTCTTCATCTGTTCGTTGGATTTCCTGTCGCAGTCCTTCAGACTGGTCGGAGGACGAACTGCTAGTGAGTAAACCGCTGACGTCATAACGGTGACGGTGACGTCATAGCGGTCAAACCGGTGATGTTCTGTTGAGAATGATGCTTGATTAGGCTAGTTTTGGAGACGGTTAGTGGCTAGTTAACCCGGCAGTTGCTGGGGTATTTCGCCACCCACCGTTTGCTGGGGGGGGGGGGGCGTTAAACGCCCCCAGCCGATAACTCGAGAACCAATAGGCGCAGCGAAACGCACGAGGCGGCAAACGAAAGAACGCGACGAGACGCTTCAGATGAGTACTTTAAAGTTGAATTTTGAGGTCACAGGTCAGGTCAAGGTCAGGTCAAACACCTGAAATCGGGTTTTCAGTAGCATGGACTTCAGGACTTCGCAATGGGCGCCTCTCGTCATAAACTCTGTCAAAACGGTGCACAATCCATCATATGTGGCCTACAAGAGTGTCAGCTCCATATAGGGGTCAGTCAAGCATAGGTCAGGGTCAAGGTCAGGTCAACCGGGCAGGCACATATCCCCGAAAATCAAAACTGATATTCGCAGCCTGTGACATGTGTTTTATAGGTAATTTGGGGCGTAGAACACGATGGTGACATTCATTTTACCATATGTGTACGTGTTTGGCTAAAAAAGTTCAATTTAAGAAATGCATGTATCATGGTCGTGAAGTAGTCACGAGAAATTGCCAAGATTCAGTTCAAGATTTTGGAAAATGCGGAACGATAATCAACAATCGAAGATAGCCATTTGATTGTTCATGGTATTGGCAGTCTAATGGCGTTTACGGCATGTCTGTATGTCTATTCTGTGATTTTATATGATTTTTTGAACATATGCCGTTTTTGGTCGAAAACTCAGAAATCATGACGTCACTAAAACCTCGATATCTAAAAATTTTCCGACCGATTTTTTTGAAACTTTGTCACAATACACTTCAATCAATTCCCTACAGGTACCCAAAATTTGGCGCGCCTGCGGCGCGCCGTTTTTATGCTATGGCCCGGCGAAAAAAGTGGGGGCGTTTAACGCCCCCCCCCCCCCAGCAACTCGCGGGTTAATTCATTTGATTGAGAAAGGTTAATTATGTGGAGTCACTGGTTGGATACTGAGTGAATACTGAACATATGGCGAGGTGCTATCCTGTTTCCGGTGCATTTTTAAATAAGAAAAATTACGTCAAAAATTGTATTTGTTATAATCCACCGGAACTCAGGGTATGATACGTTCGGCGCTCTGATTTTGAGGCTATCCTTCGTTTTACTTTTGGTTTGAAGTTGTCCTACGTTTGAGGCTTTGATTTCAAACCTAACCATCCCGTGTTTGTGTGTCTGTCTGCGATCAACGTGCCCCGTATATTTGTTTAACGCTCTGATTTTGAGTGACTACTAAGTACCTACTACCCCCGTATTTTTGCGTATGAAATCGCATAGGTTTTTCTCAAGCGAGCTGCTGACCTACCCCGCGATGTCGGTCTCATGATGAGCTGCTATGACCGCCCCTCTGCTCGGCAGGTCAGGTGTTCTCGTCGAGCGAGCTTCTGGCCAATCCAGTGGTCGGTCTCATGATGGGCTGCTTGGTGACGGTGCTGGTACAGAGCAGCAGCACATCCACCTCCATCATCGTCTCCATGGTCGCCTCGGGACGTGAGTAGCACCTCCAATTAGCTCCTCTTGAGGGAGTAACTCCCCAAATCTCCTCTGGACGTGAGTTGCTCCTCCAAATAGCTCCTCTTTAGTCGGAGTAGCTCCCCCAATCTCCTATGGACGTAAGTATATCCGTCCTTTAGTCTCCTCGGGACATGAGTTGAGTAAGGGATGGTTTACATGCATGGTTTGGGGCGTGAGTCAGTGGCAGTTGATATGGTTGGTTTGGGACGTGAGTTGGGGACGCCGCTGATATGGTCGTCTCTAGACGTGAGTTGAGTTGTGTTTGGGATATGAGTTAGGCAATTCTCGTAGTTTGTTGAAATTTTAGCTCAGTTTATATGGTCACTTCAGGACGTGAGTAGCTCCTCCAAATCATCTCCTATAGACGTGAGTAAGTATCTCGGTCCTTTGGTCGACTCGGGACGTCAGTTAGGGGCGGTTTATATGGTGAGTTTGAGATGAGACAATTTACTTGGTGACGTCAGGATGTAGGTTATAAACGGGTTATTAGTTGTTGGCCCGGGTGAGGGCCAGGTCGGGTGATGGGTCCGTGGTGTCATTCGTAACAAGCATCGCCTAGCGGGGCACCCGGGCCCACAGACACCCATTCATTCATCTGAACTAAATTTCTAAAAATGAATAAGCGTGAGTCAGCGTGGAATCCGTTTTCCTCTTATCATGCAGCCGCTACCGTCGGATAAGTGCTAATACTATATCCCGTTTTACAGTGCTGAAGGTGCGGACGTGCGTGCCGATGATTATGGGAGCTAACATCGGTACCAGCATCACCAACACACTCGTCTCCTTGACCCAGGTCAGTGACCGCGAGGTCAGTGACCCCTGAGGTCTGACTAACTTCGAAGTAATCGGATGAGGCCGCGGGTTAGTATTGTTTCTTGTTTTAGTCTTCTTTCAAAATGTCTTACAAGGCAAGGGAAAGTAAACACTTAAAGTCGCTAACGTTTTTGGCAACAGCCTGCCTTGTTAAAAATAAATCATTCTGTCCGTTTCCAAGCTTGGGTAAACTTTTTAGAATGATGTGTTGTGAGATGTCTAAATGTCGACTTGTCGAACACCGATAGCAGAGCCCTCTGTTAACCACTAGTTTGTGTCTCCGCTACCAGGTGTCAGACCGTAACGAATTTCGCCGTGCGTTCGGCGGCGCGACCATCCACGATATGTTCAACTGGCTCAATGTTCTGCTTCTGCTGCCTCTGGAGGTGCTCACGCAGGCCCTCAACCCCACTGGTGAAGGTCAGTGACCTCTGTGGACCCCCACTTTTCCCCCTCCCCCTCTCCCGCCCCGCCCGCTCGGTCGGGTTAGCTGCGGCTGAGCGGAGAATAAGGCTGCCTGGAAGGGTAGGCTGTGCCGCCGGACGAGTATGTCATGCGGTACAGCCTACCATTCCAGTCAGTCGCTCGCTATCGAGGAAACTGAAGCCTGTCGATCGAACGGGCTAAATGGTGGAAAAGGAGGCCGGGGAATGGCGTTTTGTCTTTATCAACGACAACATCAAATATATCATGTATCCGTGAAAATGGCAGAATCAGGCGTACGTTGTGATAAGCTTCTACGTAATGCCTCCACGGTCATTCGATACCCGATACTCGATAAAGTGGTGGAAGTGGAGCAACTTTACATGAGAACTACGTGAAGATGTCCATGAAAAACGAATTTTGATCCATTATCTACTGCCGTAAGTGTATATAAACAGTAGAAGACTGTTGACTCTAAGAGCCCTCGGCCCTTGTCGTGGGGCTAACAGCAGCCACATGTACGTACTGTGTAAAAACTGTTCAACTTACTGTATCAACTCTCGGCTCACCTCAATTTATTGACTATTCTGACATACGTCGTCCACTCCAGAAGTTTTGAGACTGGCCTCGTAAAACCCATATGAACAGTGCTAGATACTTGTTGTTCTCACAAATCCTTACCACAGTTGTTATAAACGTACTTGCGTAATTTTGTTTTGCTACGTTGCAAAAGACGGCAACGGTGTCACCCTGAACATGGCAAGTCGCACGCGGCTTGTCACAGTGACCAGTGTAGAGCACAGTCAGGTTGTTCATGTGAAGACAACTTGGAGGGTCGCTGTGCAATAAAATTTTGGGATTAGCTTGGCAAAAATGCCCGAGAAACATAGCAAATTGACTCTAAAGTGACTTGAGACGAAAGCTGGATGTATTTTTACCATCATGAGATCAAGAGACAGAAGGTCCAATGAAAACACACTGACTCCTTCAGACCCAATAAAGACAGCGGCGCAGGTCCACTGGGAAGCTCAAATTAATCCCTTACTTAGAACAAAAAGGCAAAAACTTCATAACCTGGGTCCCCTACACGGCCAGATGGTCAACAAGGAATGATTCGTGAAGGGTCTGAGGGAGTTGAGAAAGATATTTCGCCGCAAGAGGTCGGAACTCTTTAACTGTGGCCAGGGGCTCCTGCACCAGGGTAGCGCACACACCCACAAGTCCACTATGGAGACGAACTATCTGACACAGATGTGCGTCAAAACCGTCCGTAACCCTTCCCACAGTCCTGATCTGGCCCCCGTGGCTTCTGGATGTTCCACAGACTGACAGGGAAGCTCAGGGGCCGTCTTTCGGAGGATGTGGAGGAGATGAGTGAGGCTGTGACAGAGGCCCTGGGAACCTTCACTTTGAAGGCCTATCAGCAGGCCTTCAGGCAGTGACAGGAGCGCTAAAGCAGGTGCATTGGACTCGGGAGGTTCCATTTCGAGAGTCATACAAGTTTCATGCTTCTCTGAAACAGACAACTGTCTCTACTGAAAAAGTCTCAAAACTTCTGGAGTGCACCACGTATGTAGTGTGCACTCGTGGTGTAATCGGGCGTTATTTGATGGTTCTGCCATGGGTACAATGACGTCATTGGGTATTTTATTATGACGTCACTGGATCGCCGCAGGCTATCTGGAGTACACCACGGACGCCATTTTGAACTCGATTGACGTCGGCGAGACCAAAGGGACCAAAATGAAGCTGCTCAAGGTCATCACAACACCGTTCACCTCGCTAATTATCAAGGTAAGACACAAACATTCATAAATATTCGACTGAGACGTGTAAAATGTTGAAGTGACGTGTGGATACTATAAGCAGTGCCAATAGCAGTGCCAATGCTTAATTGTACGCTGGTTCGAGAAAATAATGATCCAATTGATCAGCATTTAAATATTAAATCATCTGACTCGTTGCCACCACTTTTTATTCATCGGTAACCATTAACCAATCACGGATTGATGTGCTTCATTCAGTTCGTAGCACTACGGATCAGACATGCTACTCTAAATTCATCACTTTAATCTTTTCTATGGTTTCCTTTCTTCCTCCTGAAGCATCGATTAAATTCCTGGTTGATAGATTACTTTCACATGTTCCTATCCATGATCATCTTTCAATTAGAACCTGTCAACCTTATGATGTTAAACACTGATCAGACTGGGATTATCTTGAATCTTCCATCATAAACACACACCCTGTGTCATTTCAGACCGATAAGAAAGTTCTCAGCGAGTGGGCTCTCAACAACACGGAATATTTTAACGCCTCGCTGGTAAAACACTTCTGCAAGTACTCGACTGAGATTATCGACCTGGGGGACAATGAGACGGAGACCGTGCGCATTCCTCTCGAGAGATGTAAGTACAGGGATGGTGGTCTACCCACTCCCACCATATTGGTGGGAGTGGGGGATTGATTGAGGGTTATCTTAAATCGGCTTAGCATTTATTGAAGACAACCTGACAAGTTTGAGTATCGCGTCGCTGGATCGTATATTAAGTTAATTACAAATGGAATTATCTGATAGGAACCAAGTCCTCCAGTCAATTAGGAAACACAAGATAGGTAGCTGTGAAGAGAAATATGCTCAAATTAAATTGAATAACGAAACCATCAGCATGTATGACATCACCTTGCCTTGCTCGACATGCCTCCAGACTCAGCGTGATGCGTCATTATTATTACAGTGAAGCCCTGGAGTCACCCCCTCCCCCCCCCCCCCCCCGATTCATCCACAGGTCCCTCGCTGTTCAGTCAGACGGATCTGGCCGACCTATACGTCGGCCTGATCCTGCTCGCCGTCTCTCTGCTGATGCTCTGTGGATGTTTGGTGCTGATGGTGAAGATCCTGCATACTCTTCTGCAGGGTGAGTAGCGTGGTAAGCTGCTGGTGGACGCTGAAGGGAGCACGTGACAAATGTGATACGAGGCTGTTTGATTCGAGTTTGGTGGTGTGTATTGCATAGGTATGTACCTAGTTGCACTGGATGGATGAGATAATAGTATTATTTCATCCATGGTTGCACCAAGCAATAATGCTATGATGTGCTTCGGTCTAGCTTATAGTTCATCAATTTAATTGACATCCTACTTCTTAGATACACACATAATATAAATACTAGTTTTACTTTACCATAAATCCGTATATTTCGATAAAATCCTACCCATACCGGGATTCGAGCCCACGACCTCACAATCTCCCCTTCTCGTTCGCAGGTAGTATCGCCAGTGTCATTCGCACCACACTAAACGCCGACATACCCTACTTCGGCTGGCTGACGGGCTACCTGGCCATGCTGGTGGGGTGCGGTATGACCATCCTCGTGCAGTCTTCCTCGGTGTTTACCTCAGCTCTGACTCCTCTAGTTGGCTGTGGGGTGATCTCGCTGGAGAGGATGTACCCGCTAACTCTGGGATCCAATATCGGTACCACCACTACTGCTCTACTGGCGGCTCTGGCGGCATCCGGAGCCACCCTCAGACCAAGCATCCAGATCGCCCTCGTCCACCTGGTGTTTAATTTGACTGGAATCGTGGTGTTTTATACCCTGCCCGGGCTTCGTTGGCCCGTGCCGCTGGCTAGAGCGCTTGGTAACGTTACAGCGTCGTATAGATGGTTTGCGGTTGCGTATCTTCTGGGTATGTTCATGATTCTGCCCGCGCTTGTGTTTGGGTTGTCTATGGCCGGGCCGACTGCGCTGTACGCTGTTTGTGGCGTTGCCATGACGACGGCATCGTTTGTTGCCATGGTGAATGTTTTGCAGCGTCGTGCCCCGGCGTTTCTGCCTGTCCCACTGCGTAGCTGGGCGTTTCTTCCCAAACCATTGCGTAGCCTGGAGCCCTATGATAGGATGGTGACTGGGATGACGTCACGCTGCTGCTGCGCCACGGCCGTTGCCATGGAGACGGAGGCGGAGGCTGACAGCGTTGCCAGGGAGAAAAAGGCAGCGCAGGCAGAATTTGCCGGTCGTGACAATCCTGCCCTTCAAACTGATCATAGCCTGGCCTGATTTGGAGTTTTGCAAATATGAGACTGATTTTCTGTCCCAAAATGTACATGTACTTGGGTTGCCAATTCACGTTTGATGCATTGCTAAAATTCAGGGAAACTTGTGGTTACGTCAGCCTCACTGCCCCTTTTAAATGACGAGTGCCCATTTGCAAATGCCGTTCATACGATAGAGACACCAGTTCGGCCATTTAAATGGTTTGAGTTATTGTATGTAAGGTAGCTATTTATATTGTATGAGTGAGAGATTTTGTGGGTGTTTGGACCTATTTATTGTATTATTTATGTAATGACTAACATTGTCTTAAAACAAAACAACTTGCAACAATGTTTACCAGTGTGTTAAAAATGTATCGCAGTGCGGCAAGCGCTCCGTGGTTGTATATATGGCACAAAATGCGATGTAAAGCGCACATTGTCATCGTATCGTATATTGGGATCACGATCTAACGTGGCCTGCCCTTGATCTGCATATTTCTCCCAAGATGGAGATTGGAGTTGCCAGATCACTGTGGCGGCTGCCAGATAACCCGGTGTGGTTACTGCGACAGTGTAAACCAGACTTACTTGTGTGTTGTGCACTGCGCAACGTGCTAAATTCTGACCAAGCGTGCAAGAAACGGGAAAACAATGCGTGCTAAATACACGCTGATGGTGAATTTGGTATTTGCTGGCTGGTTTCGAAACATGTAGGCATACGATAAGAGAACTATTGTGTGCATTACAATTTTGCCGCACCCACACTGTGAGATATAAAACCAGTGTCTGCATTATCTCGGAGCTGAATATCTATAATGCCACGTCATTAGTTCTGACAGCCGTGAAGATCCTTTCACAACAGGTATAAATATCGGCGGGATTAATCGCACATCCGCGCCGGGCTATTGTTTTGAGTCGCCGGTAGATGGTAACCTGCAAAATGCTGTAAATAATTCGGGGAAACGTGGACACGAAAGATAAAAGAGATCGCAGCAGTGCAAGGAGTCTGAGCTTGCTTGACTGCTTGTCTTATGATATACCTGCAAGATCAGAATCGCCACTCGCGCCGCGTTTGGTGTCAATTTACACCCCTCATCGCAAGTTTTTTTTTGTGAATAGCTCAAAGGCGACACATACCACCAATTCTTAGGTACATCTTGGGATGCATTTTCTCCACAAATCATAGTAGCATTTTAGATTCTGGTCATCTAAGGTCAGAGTACACAGAGTCTACTCTTATAAATATCTTAAATATGATCTGGCAGTAGGTACTCTATTGTGAAACTTGGTAGGTAGGTAGGTAGGTAGGTACCACATAACTTGAAATTACTTGACGTAATGACATGATGTGGAAAGTGAAAATGATACCTAGGTATTGATGGAAATTTATGGACTTAAGTACGCTACAAGAAGATTGAATTGGTCAACCAATTCAAATTCAATCTACTTGTGGAGTAGGTCTATAGATTTTCATCAATAGTTACCACTTACCATTGAAGTTACTTGCTATCATGTTGATTTTATACATAAGAACCTCATTCATTTTATTTGTATGACATGTTTGAATGCAATTTTCTCAATAAGTGAAGAAAAATGTTGGTAGTGCTCAACAACACATTGGTAGTGCTCAGCTGAACATTGGTAGTGCTCGGGCACTCCCAGGCCTATACAAAACGACGCCCCTGGGTACTAGATAAAGTTAGCGGCTAATGCAAAACGTTTTCATGTATTTTAATCCAACGTGTACCTACATATTGTCTTCATTAGGTACCAGAAACCATTTCGCTGATGTGGACAATACCCATTTGCCAAGACGCCTCTGTCATCATTGCAGATCTTATGCTACGCACTAACACTGGAAAGCCGGGACGCTTTATAAGATCGGACCCAAGGAATGTTTCAAGCTGATGCTGTTCACACCGACTGAACGGCTGCTTCCAAACCACCATGGTCTTATCAGGGTCACAGGGCGCATAAAAAGTTATTTTTGGGTTTTAAAATCGGTGACCTAGCCACTATGTCTATTTGGTGACCTCTACATGTCAGCGTAACTACCGAGTGGCGGGTGTGGCGCGACGCGGCGGTGGTTTGATTGCTTTTAATGTTTTTGTTTGTTCTGTTTTTTTTTTCATTGTTCACGTTACGTACCAGTTTCTGAGAGAGGTGATTTAATTTAAGAATTTTATTCTTTTGCACCGATCTAATTTATATATTTGTTCTTGTCTGTTTTGTTCGGAATGTCAAAATAAATGTCTATGTCTATGTCTATGTCTATAGCATAAGTCAAAGAAGAGCAGCTGAGCCGCCCCTCTTGTGGGCGAACGCTCAAGCATTGAGTAGCAAGTTAATTAATATTAAATACTGAATTGAAACCTATAATAACTACAGCCGTTAGCTAACGAATTCGTGATGCACTTTGGCGCATCCCGTCTGTTAGCTCATCCTCCATTTATACTTTTTAGGTCAGCTTTAGGTGATGCTTTTTCACTCATGTCTCATTGTTAGTAAATGATCCAGAAAATACTGCAGAAGCTACATATATTTTGAATGTAGCACAGTTCATGCATGCGTTATATTTTGTGAATAGCTCACAGAGTTTATACTATACTTTCGATCGATAGCTACCCTAGCCTATACTACTGAAGCTACTGACGCATATATCCTTCGCCCCAGTGGGGGGGGGGGGCATATGTTACCACCCTGTCGCGTTTTTTGCGTTTGAATAAAAAACCGCGGCGCGTAGCGCCGTGCAGCTTGGGGTAGCTTTTGGTGCATCAATTTTGGAAAATGTGTGAAATTTTTGACCCCAGGTCATGTCAGGTCAGGTCACCAGGTCAAGTTAACTGACCAAGCCTAAAAAAAAGTTTGCAATCATGTCCAGCCTGCAGTGTTTGTCAGAAAGGTTTTAAACTTGGTAGATTGCATGCTGTTATGGGCGCCTACAAGTTGTATATCTCGGATTTTTTATATCCGTGACCTAAGGTCAGGTCAGTGGCGTGACCTTTCCATTACAAGTCAATGGTGAAAAATGAAAATGCCTCTAGATCCGTGTGTACGCATAGGAACAGTCCAAATATTTCAGAATCACAATGATTTAGTCCACTCGTGATGACCAAGGTGTCATTTTTACTGATAGCCTCTAGAAAGGTCATCCGAGGTCATTTGAGGCTACAAACAGTTTTATGCCAATAACTCGCGATTGGAAAGAGAAAGAACGCTGGGGATGGTCTCATTGTGTTTGTCTTGTTGAGACGCATCAACTGATATGCAACATGACCTTTTCCAGTCAGGTCATGACCTTGACCTGAGGTCAAATTTTTCAAGTTGACCTTTCAAGGTCAAATTATAGTTCATTCGACGCGTCTCGGCGAGGGGAACACGATTCTGGCAATAGAAATGTCGTGGCTTTTTGTAGTCGAAAGTTATTGTCGAAAAACACTTTTCGAAAAAAACAGTTATTTTTGGAGTTTCTGCCCTCTGGAGGCTAAACTGTTGACCTGAGGTCAATATTGATAATGACCTTTTCAAAAGAAGAGCTCAAAAACTATCGATTGCTGTTCCATGCGTTTTTCTAGCTACCATAGTTCCTGAGATAGTGGCATGTTTTCTGAAAAATATAATGACAATTGGCAAGTTTTGACCTTTGATGACCTCTGGTGACCCCAATATTGCTCTAAGGTGAAAAATGACCGAAATACTTTCAAACGTACGCATTGAGAGCTATCGACTGTTTTTTACCGCGTCTTTCTAGCCCTCTTAGTTTTTGAGTTAGAGGTGGGTGGTAACATATGCCCCCCCCCCCCCACTAGGGCGAAGTTGGCTGAGACCGCCACTGGGGCGCGGGATATTCTACTTTCAACAGAAGAGGTTTCGTATAGATTCCACTGAACAGTAGATATAGCTCACAAAGAATCTTCTATATGCAAGCGCAGCAAGCAAGTAACAGAAGCACTGTCTTCTAGAAGATAACTCGAAGACTTTTGTTTAATACAGAAGACAGCTAATAGAAGCTCTAGCTGCCACTGAAAAGTAGAAAGCTCACGTAGATTCTACGATACCCTACAGCATGTAATTTTTAAGGTATGGGTACAGTAGATAACCATACATATAGCAGTAGAAGGCTCACATAGATTCTACTACACTGTATGGCACTATCCTCCCGCGGTAGATTTTAGTCGTCTCGAGCAAACTCACATACATAACTACGTAGTTGTATAGGACTCACGTGGATTCTACTACACTGTATCACCATCCTCCCGCGGTAGTAGATTTTAGTCGTCTCGAGCAAACTCACAGACAAACGCCGCTGGTTCATCGGTGCAAGTGAACCTCTCCAGTTTCACCTGGTCCCTGATAACAGCCACACACGCCCTGCCTGTGCTACTGGGTCCGTCAATACCCTCCAGAGATGCCGGGGCAGTCACTGAGCCATCAGAGGTGCCCAAACTATCACCTCGGTTGGCAAATCCAGTGGCCACGGCGTCGATACTGTCGTCGTCTACGATTTCCAGTAGACACTGGAGCTGTTCTACCGTGGTGGGTGTCGGTAGAATCTGGCCGTCTCCCGTGCATTGTGTACTGAAATCTTCCCCAGTTGTGAAGGTATTCTGGTAGCAGGCACCGTCACATTCAGAATAGTACTCTGGACAGTCTTCCTGTAATAAAAACGGACGACGGGTAGTAATAAATACACATTGCACGTGAGAGTAAGTGATTACAAATGAAACAGGTGAAAACGACAGGTAAATGGAAAAATAGTGGAAAGAACATGTGTGAAAATTTGCTGCTAAAATACTCACATCTTCCTCACCGTCGTCAAAGAGGCATGAATCAAGAATGTGACCTGAAACAGGCGTAAAAGTAAAAACGCGTTCTTGCGAGCGCTCTGGTGAGGAATATGATGATGACAGTGATGAAGAGAATCAATAAAAATGGTAAAATTGACCTTATGCGCATAATGTCGGAGAAATTATTTGATTTTTTAACTTAATTTGTTACTTTTTTTAATAAATCTATTTATTTTTTATTAATGAATTATTGTTTAATTCATTTTAATTGGCCGGTCCCGTAGCTCAGTTGGTTAGAGCGTTGGACTCCGCGTGGTGAGAGCACGCGTTCCCGGTTGTGACAGTCCGGGTTCGAAGCGCGACGGGCGCTCGACATTTATGGGCCTCCTGACAGGTATGGTTGCGGTTGGTGGCAGGCCGTAGCCAGGCGAAGTCAGCGAGGGGACCGGCCGTGCGCGGCTTTGTGCGCACGTTAAACTTTGGACTCTAAATTCTGCCATAGTATCGGAATTGCGCGATCGGAGGGTAGAGGGCAGGGTCACCGCAACAAGCTTCGCTTAGCGGTGGCTCTGTCCTTGTGATTCCTTCCCATCAAAAGGTTCGGACTAAATTTATAAAAAAAAATTATTTATTAAAAATTATTTTTTATTAATTACAATTTACAAGCATGCTCAAAGAAACGTTGTACCATATAAAACTGATGAAGAGAAATAAAATTAAAAATATGAAGCCTGTTCAAGTATATTTTTGTATTTCTAAAAAAAAAAAATCATGAAAATTTCCTCAGATCGGATTCGTACTTACACCTACAATCTACATTGATGCTGAGGGAGCATTAAATAAAATGATTAAATTATTTGATCCAGGCTTGTTGACTGAAATAATGGTACAGCTATTTTGTATTTAAACATACAATAAAGGGGCTGCATTTATCTTCATTCTCTATATTCAATGCATTGAAAGTAAAGAGTAAACGTGACATTATACCTGAATTCAAAACTAAACACTTGACACAATAAAGGCAACACGCACCGTGGAATTGACACCATTAGACGCTATTCGTCTCTTGTTAAATAAATCCCATTTTTCTTGTAATTACCTTTGGCCACTGTCGTAAACATTAGCATCACTGAGATGACGGTAATTTTCCTCATGGTGACACTGTACGGGGACACTTCCTGATGACACCACCCGCCGGTGTCAATTTGGTAATACCAACTTTATCTGTAAACTAAATATGCCTTATCTTCTCTGGACGTCTATCCAAGGCTGCGTCAGAATACACACTGGACAGCGCAGCAGAAACTGGTCATTATATGCTAACCTCCAGCAGGAGATACGAGCAGTGACGTCACCAGGTGGCTGAGTGCTTCCTAAGTTTGCTAAGCATAAGTTATTTCTTTTATTGACTGGATAGTTTTTTAACGAGGTGCGACAAGCTATATGTGTGACACGCCGTACTTTCTTTCGAACCGAATTTCATGTAACACACTGTCCTATCTCCGAGCCATGTGGACCGATCGATTCTCGATGCGCTTCGCTGCTCCATATAAAAGCAGCGGCGACACGAGCGCGCACACACTCTGTCTCTCAGTCGGACACTCGTCACGGGACTCTACTGGTGGCGGTACACCGCGTGGGTCGCCGGACCATTCGGTCCGGGACATTCGTCCCGGACGTCAAGACACTCACTGAGTCTCTGTCGGACACTCGAACTTCGTCACTGGACTCGACTGTTGGTGCCGCGTGGGTCGCAGGACCATCCGATCCGGCACATTTGTCCCGGACGTTGAGACACTCAGTCTGTGTGACTGCCTGTGACTTCTGGAACACCCGCTTCGGCCGACGCGGTGCGACGCGGTTGCCGATTTGTCAGCGTGGGTGCCAGCCCGGTGCTGAAACCGACGAACTGCAACCATGTAAGTCCGGCAGGGCGTCGCCACTCATTCGGCGGCTTTAGATTTCCGGCCTATCAAATGCTTTGATCTTCTTGTATTTTTGGCGAATTAACATAAAAGTCTGAATCTGTCGATTGATCCAAATATCTCGGTAAATGTTCACCTGCTTGTAAATTTCCGCCTTCAGCATCATTTGGCACGCTGTTCATGTCGTTACCTTGGTCGTTACAATAAGTATCAATTACGTAACCCCCCTCACGTCTCGTTTCTTGTTCGAAGTTGATCTCTGTGTGTATATACTGTTGTGTGTTTTGACGATCGTACTTGCCAATCATGTCGTGCTTCCCATTGCCACCTCTCCTACCTCCTCTTGAAATTGACACGTAACTTACAATATAACCCACTGATGCAACTAGACTATGATGGTGAATGAGAGGCTCTGACGAATGAGAACAATCGAAGCGATGAGTTGACGAGGCCGGGTAGATGAGTAGAGTAGAACGGGTTTCAGAAATTGTGGTCTATAATTGGGTAGCAAGGCTAACAAATGATATATCTTGGTCAAATATCAAGGGGAGTGGGTCGATTTGAGCGTTGAGGATCTGGGGGTTGTCCTCTTATTACTTTGCTATTAACCTGCCGTCATTAGCTCATTTTAACGCTTGGATGACGTCAACTGACAATACCAGATAATTTCAGTAATCAACATCTTGTTAAAAAAAAATATCTTCAGAGCTCAGCATGCCATTTGACGGTAGTTTTCCTGTATGCATTCGCAATTATCCGGATAGTTGTTTACTTGCTAGTAGGTCTCAGTTCGCTTATTCAGCAATTGCAGCTCAAGGAGGTTCAAAATGAAACACCTTCCCAGATTTGGAGTAATGATTGAGCGTTCGATGTTTCTGTTTTGTTTTTCGTAGATGACTCGTTAACGGATTAACGTATATTGTCGAGTAATTTGGGGTTCTAAAATCTGCAACAAGTAATTCAATGGATTGTGTACAATTATAATTCACTGAGCCAAATCGAAACCAGTATACCATGGTGGCAATAAAATCGTTCAAGTAACCGGCCCTACCGATTTACTGATTTCCGCGGTTCGAGCTAAACATGTTTCGCCACATTCCCTCCTACATTGACGAGAGCCATATTTCATTTCGTACTAGCATACTTTACAATAGCGTGGTACTCAGAAACTTTGCAGTAAGTTCATTATTGATGAATTAAAAATCAAAGGCTGATTTTAACAGAACTAAAAGTAATGAAAACTTGAGTTATAGACCGTAATTACTAACAATCGTGATTACAATCCACGAAACCTCTCAACATGTTACAAACAAGTTACGACAACCTTATAAATTACTAACTATTTCACCAAGAAAACCTTGCAAATTGACAACGAACCCAGAACGCTCTATTATACGAAGTTTCGGAAGTTTAAGCAAACATGTCAAGTAATTTCCGCCATAAACTGAAAAATCCCCCCCTGGTACTACTTTTTCGTAGTTACAATCGTGTGAACGGGCAGCGATGTAAAACAATGAACAATTCTGGCTTAATTACTTATTACTATCATTTAAACTCCTACGTTTCCAACAAAGCAAATTACGCAATGCTGTCAGTCAATTACGCCCTACACACGCATTCAATGTTTTGCGGCTGAACGTTTTGCATTCTATTTCATATAATACGGCATGGTTAAGTGCGGAGTACGTTGATTTCCAACTTTACTATATTTCTCGGTAAAGGCACGTTTTCTAGATGAAACCCAGGCATGGAAAACGCATGATCAGGAACAGATATAGTGTCTAGTTTTATTACCAGTTAACTTCCCCTTAAAACGTAAAGCGACGCCCGCTTTAATTTTGTGATGAATGCTACATTTCGGTACAGTGGCTCTCAGCAGTGAAATTGATGCCAAAGGGGCATTACGTAGAAGTCAATTTATTCTATTGTCAACCTGTTCTGTTGTCATTGTTGAAGAACACTCTTATAATCGTCATTCAGTGTGACTGGTAGATTTGGTTAACTACGTCAATATCACTTTGCCTAATTCAGAAATTCCAGGCGCGCCGTTTCACCCAATTAGCCGCGGCCGCGTAGTTTAGCGGACGTCGCGTTATTATCATTCATTAATTAATGCCCTATACTTGTTGAAAAGACTTTCATACAATCGACATTCAGTGCGTCTGGTATATTTGGAAAGCTACGTCAATACTACTCCGCCAAACTCAACAGGATTCCAGGCGCGCCGGCTCGCCTATTAGCGTCAGCCATTTGGTGGGGGACGCCGCATCGTTATCATTCATGTAAATTGTAAGTGCAGCAGATAACCGAACGATTTTTTTGGGACCAAGTCAATAAGATAAACTATCATTGTCAGTTGGCTCCATTCCTCTATTCAGCGACTAATTTACGGGACAACAATTGTAGTGGTTAAGAGAGACATACGGCCTGGCGTTACACCAGCCGCCCTTACCAGGAAAATAGTCCAGTCGTTACCATTATATCGAATGGGGTAGATTATTACTACTAATTGTCATTATTGACATCATGCCCCGCACCAGTGAGAGCTGCGACGAGTCCACTTCTAGGACACATGCAATAGTGTATGACGCCTATTTACTGTAAAGTTTCTACAGCACCAGCCCAGATCTTCCGACTGCTCTGTGAGCGCTGGGTTTACTGCCCCCATAAATGAGACAGCGACGGCTGGCCATGCGTGGCCGTAATTACCTCTCTATGGAAGCGAGCTGAAGCGTGGTAGTACGGTATACACAATCGATTGATTACACTTTTCAATTGCCAGGGAATGAAAAATAAGTGTGGTCCCCCCTGTTCTGGTCAAGGTAGTGCAATTGTACTTAGGCAGTGTTGGTCGTTGCATGGAGATACCACTTGCATGTCTCTACACATTTCTGAATGGTTGGAGATGTGCCATTGGCTGACACAGGGTCAGATCCAGTCTGGGGCCCGTACTGTCGTGATGGGCCGGCGTCGTTATTCGATTGCCTGTGCTGCCGCTGGTGAGGGGCGGCGGTGCAGTGTGCGTGTCTCATTCACTGGCCCAGACGGGGGTGAGGATACGTTGACGCCGTTGTTGGATATTCCGGGTGCGTCCCGCGGTATCATTCATTCCGGGTACGTCCCGCGGTATCATTCATTCCGGGTGCGTCCCGCGGTATCATTCATTCCGGGTACGTCCCGCGGTATCATTCATTCCGGGTACGTCCCGCGGTATCATTCATTCCGGGTACGTCCCGCGGTATCATTCATTCCGGGTGCGTCCCGCGGTATCATTCATTCCGGGTACGTCCCGTGGTATCATTCATTCCGGGTGCGTCCCGCGGTATCATTCATTCCGGGTACGTCCCGCGGTATCATTCATTCCGGGTGCGTCCCGCGGTATCATTCATTCCGGGTACGTCCTGTGGTCATTTTTCCGGGTGCGTCCCGCGGTCATTTTTCCGGGTGTGTCCCGCGGTTGTTATTTGGGGTACGTCCCGCGGTTGTCAGTCCGGGTGCGTCCCGAGGTGGTTAGAGTTCCGTGATCCGCAATAGGTCACGACAAAGGGGTATCGCATGTAACGGGGCTATATGGTGGTGCCATAATTAGCCGTATGGAGGGGGCTACTAATTTCTGGGATCCACTTCCGAAGTATGGTTGCTGTGTGAATGTGGTTATTACTAGCTCGTCCCGGAAGCTCCTAATTGCCTTCAGAGTAGGCCAACTCTGTCGTCAATTTTGGCCATAGGCTGCTCCCAGTATGACCTAAATAATGAGCGAAAGGTGTATACATGCAATAATGTCAGTTGCGGAAGCCCAGAGATAATGACGCTAGCTGCCCATCCCGACCGTTTAACATGTGCCAATAGGTTGAATGGACTGCTCCATATAACCGGATCGATATTGTTTTGACCGCACTGAGCGGGCCTGTATTGCCCGGGCGTGTCCATCAGTCGCACAGCATCACCAGCTGCTCGTTTATGACCCTGAACAGTGAAATCGATACGCAATCTCAGAGAGAATAGCACGGCTCTCAGTACGGCCGACCGACAATGCGCAGGTGCCACTGCACTCATCGCTTGGTAACAATCCAAATCGGTAATCGTTTTACAACCGCGCCGAGCCGCGCGCGCCGCAGGACCGGCGAGGCGTCATTTTATTGTGATTGTTGTCTCGTTCCACCCAGTACAGAATTGACAAGTGTCACCACACGTACTTGACCGATACAACTTTGGCTCGGAACGAACGAATTAGTAACTTGCCTTTAGCCTGTTCCCTCCGCGCGTCTAACAAAGTCTCATCAGGTCACCAAAGTCGACAAGTTTCGAGAGGAAACCGGTACTTGGACAAGTGTGGCCGGGACCACT